GAGGTCGACCGAAAAGTGCATGTCACCGTGACATGCACGTCACCGTGACATGCACGTCACCGTAGCAAAGTCCAAATTTTTATTATTAGTATTAAACATGCATAACACGTTTAGTACATGTATTTTAAGGAGTTAGATTGATAATTTGTTAATTTAAATTTATTTGTAAATTATAAATTTCTAAATTTTTATTATTGCTACCAAACTTTTAGCCATTATATTAATTTAGATGAACGTATAAAATTTCATACATATTAATACCGCAAGTCCGCAACAGACCAATAACTTTTTTATTAACAAAGTATCAAACTTAACAGTGTTATGAAAATATTATTATTATTATGGATGACCAACATTAGATGCTCCATGGTATGTTACAAGTTCTATGTAACTCATCTCCTTATATTTATTTCTCCATATGACACATTAGTTGCACAATTGGGTGTTACATGTAACCCCCCACCCCATTTCTATTTCACATTCATTCTCACATTCATGTATATTGATTGTAAGAATGTAGAGGTTATGTGATGTGTGCCTATAAATAGATGATCTCCTTGTACTAAGGGACACATGAATAAGAAAGCTCTATTCCCCCTCTCTTCTTATGTCTCTACTCTTACTCTTGTGTATGTTCCTCTTCCTTGTTATTTCACAACACGTTATCAGCACGAAGCTCTGCCAAAGTCATGGTTGGTGATTGTCTCTCTACATAATCAAATATATTTAAGTAAGATCACAACACGATCAAGGTATACAAATTTTCATGTCTTTTCTTGGTAGTATGTTTATCTATCTCATTGTCTTTGAGAGATTATTTGGTCTTGTTATTTGTTCATATTATTTTATGAACTTATTTTATATATGTCAATCTTGTAACAAAAATGTCGGAATATGAGTTACCATTGCAATGAAAAAATGCATGGGAAGTTTGGATAATGACAATCAGCAAATGTTTCTTTTCACCGGAAGTGAAAAATAAAATAATTATAAATGAGGATGATAATTCATGTAGCAAAAGTCATGATCATATACTGTAATCTTCGTATGCCGAAATGTGTTATGAAACACATATATGTTGTTATTATTATTATTATTATTATTATTATTTTGTATGTTTTTGTATAGAATTGAATATTTGCAAAAGTCAATACTGGTATTATATCATATAGTATGAAAGTAATCTAAAGCTCCGGAAGAGATTGTGTTTTGTTACTTGAAGTAACTAAACAATATATTGGTGATAAATAGTGTGACAATATTCTTATCACTATGGATTTGTGCTCACAACAGTTCACCGAAATCAAAAGGTGCCTAATGACCAAAATGTAGTACAAGAGTATGCGAAAGCTCCAGAAGAGCTAATGTTTTGAGACGTGAATGAACTAAACTGTCAGTTGAAGATGCATTACCGAATTATGAAGATATTCGTAGAAAAGAATATCATAATTGATATTGCATCATAAATGTGTTATAAGAGAACATATACTTAACTGGGAAAATTTGTACTACATGTATATTAGTACATATGAAAGTGTAAACCAAAAGTTTGCAAGATCGGATAACTTTTTATTTTGGCATGCCCGGTCATACCATCCCAGATACAGATGCGAAAATGATTGAGATATCATACGGAAATTAAGTGAGAGTTCAGAGAATTCATCAATCAAAGGATTGATTATGTGATACATGGTCTCGAGGAGAATATACTCGTGAAAATAATTGAATTTGTTGAGATTTTATAAAAGTGTATGCAGAAAAATACACTCACCGTGCAAATCATATATGAATTTTATGATTTTGGTTGATTCATCAACTATATCATCATATATGTCTGTTATCTAAACGCAACCTAATGTTTGTGAGATTAGTTGCCGAATGATAGATATATTTTGATGATTATCCAATCAAACAGAACTTCTCTTATGAGAACAAACTAAGTCTATTGATCTCTTATCGAGGCATATGATATCATTAATTCGCATGAAGCCAACAAGTTATCATAAGTTCTCCCCTTTCATACAAATGGTTTTGGTCAGGGACCAAACATTTAAAATGCTAGAAAATTTGGGTGTGCAGAATACATCCCAATTGCTCCACCACAACACGTTATGAGTTCCATGAGAATTTATGTTGGACATGGTGTCCATTGCAATGAGAGATTTGTTCATGACTCTTTTTGCTAATATAATCATTTTGATGAATTACTTTTCGAACGTTAAGGGGGAGAAAAGTAAACACTGGGGCATAGATTTGAGTTGGAATCATCATTATCTCATTTTGATCCTCAAACGAAGAAACATGAACCCGAAGTTCATATGGTGATTCATGGAGGAAAAAAACGTATTGATTGCCAAACGCCTTTTTACTCACTAAAAGGAGTGATTATGTCAAATGCCCAGTTGTGAATGCTCCAATACAAATTGATGTCCATATTGGATAATCTAATGAGTCTAAACAAGCGCATGAAGCGTGGTAGACCAATCGGTTCCAAGGATAAAAATCCTCGAGAAAGGAAGGAGCTATAAATTAAGATGGTAAACTCGAGGATAAAATAGCTCTAGAAGAGTCAAGTCATAAAATTGAGATCATAGTTCCAAAAGAATAGTAGGTACCTGAACGTTTTAAAATGAAGAGATCTCAATTAATTGGCTTGTATGAAAAAAGTTGGAACCGAAGTGTATTTATTGTCGACAAGGGTTTTGATTATGCTGCAGCACTGAACGTGATAGATACAAAGAGGATCAAAAGTAAAAGTCTATTGATGCATGCAAAGAAATATATATTGGCCAATATAAAAGAAAGCATTAGGCTATTTGGTATAAGTTTTGGACCAGAAGTCCTTACACCTGAAGATGTAAAACTAATGGGATGCAAATAGGTTTTGTGCAAACGCGTATGGAAATTGCGAGAGATATAATACAATTTCTCGTGAGAGGTTTCTGGTAGAAACCTGACATCAATTATGAAGAGACATACTCTCTTGTGGTGGATGCAACTATGTTGTGCAATTTAAATAGTTTGGCAGTTCAAAAGGCATGAAATTTGCATTTGGTAGATATTGTGATAGCCTATTTGTATGGATCCCTTGATAATGATATTTATACGAAACTCCTTGAAGGATTAGTTTGCCGGAAGCAAACATGTGAAGTTCTCGAGAACAATATCGATCGATAAAACAATCCCTTGTATGGATTGAGATAAAATGGATGAATATGGTATATTCATCTAAGTGAATATCTACTAAAGGAAGTGGTCGAATAAGCCTTGCGTGATTAAATTCGAATAAAGTGCATTAGAGCATTTGCATTTGGCATGTGTGATTGTGTAATGACATATAGGCTTATGTGCGTGATATTGTGGTTTTAGTTATGAGTTTGATTTATGAATATGGTTTGGTTAAGTGATGTTGTGTTATGACGTGCCTTTTGCTTGTGACCGTGGTATGAAGTAATTGTTTGCATACAATTGTGTTAGCTAAGTTTTATAGTTATTTGGAAGAAAAAAGTCGAGAAATTATTTTATAATGATCTCATATCTTTTAGTTGATATGAACTCCAGAAGAGCTTCATAAAGCATGTTTTGCTTAATGAAAGAAAATTGAACTCCAGAAGAGTTTCATGCAGCATGGATTGCTTAAAGAAAGAAAATTGAACATGAAGGATTTAAGATCCTTTTTGGATCAGTACGAATGTCGGAAAGGTGAAAGGACAATTTTGTATGGAAAAAATTGCATATGTTCAACAGCTTAATGATCACATGGTCACTAGAAGTGAACAAAGATCAATTTAGGCATTGAGATAAAAGTGAATTATTAGGTCCTGAAGTACCGTATGTTAATGTCGTTAGAGCGAAAATGTATCTCGCTATACTTCGTTACTATAGGTAACGATGAGGATCATAGATGAGTAATTTGTTTACCTATGGTCGTACAAGTATCTCATGGAGATTCCAAAGAAATCACAATAGCAACTGATCATGCACAATGGTCAACAATTCATGAGACTTGTTATGAATTGTTTGGTTAAGATTTGTGATTCAACACGTCTAAATGACTTGTAGTTTGGATTCTCTTCATAAAAAATGATCTTGAAGATCATGTATGAAGAAAATGGTCCTAATGGATCATGCATAAAGTGACAATCTAGAAGATTTGTTCACTAAGAAGCTTACCATGAGAAGATTTGAAAGATTTGTTCACAACACTATACTTTGATGTTGTCATGAGGGGGAGCATATACGCACTGCACTCTTTTTTCCTTAACCATGGTTTTTCCCACTGGGTTTTCCTGGTAAGGTTTTTAACGAGGCAGATTCAGATAGCGTATTATGATGATTATGTACTCTTTTTCCTTCACTAGGATTTTATCCCACAGGGTTTTTCCTAGTAAGGTTTTAACGAGGCATATTCATGTCTAATGGTCATCCAAGGGGGAGTGTTATGAAAATATTATTATTATTATGGATGACCAACATTAGATGCTCCATGGTATGTTACAAGTTCTATGTAACTCATCTCCTTATATTTATTTCTCCATATGACACATTAGTTGCACAATTGGGTGTTACATGTAACCCCCCACCCCATTTCTATTTCACATTCATTCTCACATTCATGTATATTGATTGTAAGAATGTAGAGGTTATGTGATGTGTGCCTATAAATAGATGATCTCCTTGTACTAAGGGACACATGAATAAGAAAGCTCTATTCCCCCTCTCTTCTTATGTCTCTACTCTTACTCTTGTGTATGTTCCTCTTCCTTGTTATTTCATAACAAACAGAAGTCATTAATATGGCTATCATATATAAATAGAACGCTAGCCAATGGGGGGAGTATGAGAATTTTATTTTTTTATGGAAGGGGGATTAATAATATCATGAAGAAGAAGATTAAATTGGCCAATCAATTAACTATTGCACAGTGGGCTACGGCAAAAAAGGTCCAAGTGATATTGCCCACAGCCCAAAATAGCTTAATCACCGATCATTGAAATGGAAAAAGACTTGGCAGTCCTTCCCTGCTTTGCGGGGAGGCCAGGAAATACTCAATTAAATAGGTGCTAAGCCAGAACCTCCATATATGTATTGGAGGATTTGCCGAATTTAGTAGTGACAAATCTAGAAAATACTATGCCTGTACTCAATACAATAATTAACCACACAAGCACCTAGCAAAACGTCATTACTCTGAAGAAAACCTCGTAAATTACTAAATTAGTGAACTATACTCGAATGCTTAATTGTTTAGTTTCATCCCCTTTGCTAAGGGACAAAGTCGAATTCACAGTTCTTCCACTATACTCGACTTTCACACTGTACTCCCCCAGAAACCCATAAAAGCTAAAGGACCCTTGCTGATCGGAGCTCCCAGTCTGCACGCCGGTGTACCATTCTTTCAACAACTTGTCCACCACATCCCCCGCCGGCAAGTTGTTCAGATTGCCGTCCGTCAGGCACATTTGGTAGCAGCCGTTGGAGTCCAGCGCAGTCCACATCATTATCCCATCCACCGCCGGATGAGAAAACCCTTCTCTCAGGACTTTCTCCAAATACCTTGCCTGCAATAAAAAAAAGTCAGCCAATGCATCCCAAATCGGCCGAATCAAGCAGATGGGTTATCCAAATCAATCAAAAACCTGAGTTGAGTGATCGAATTTGTTCGAAACATCGACTTCGGTGAGCCAAATCGGTAGCTTCAAGGTAGCCAGTTTGTCGAGGATCGCTCTGGTCAGCGGCGGGTTGGGCTTGGAGAAGTGGCTCTCCAGCCCGATCCCGTCCATCGTCGCCCCGCCGCGCTGCAGCTCCCTCATCCTGGCGATGTACTCGTCAACGGTGGAATTCAAGTCGACGCAGGACTCGACGACGTTGAAGTCGTTCATGAACAGTGTGGCCAGCGGGTCGGCCTCGTGGGCGGTTCGGAAGAAATGCAGAGTTGCGCCGCGGCCGAGCTTGTTCTCGTAGAAGTCGAAGTGGAGCATCTCGTTGCTGACGTCCCAGTTCACGAATTCTTCCCTGTACTTGTCCATCAGGCTCCGGATCCGGGACTCGACGGCGGCGTGGAGGCCCGCGCCGGAGAGGGACTTGACCCACGCCGGAGTGTACTTGGGGTCTTCCCAAAAGATATTGTGGCCTCTGGCGATTAGCCCGTTGGCTCTCACGAATTCCATCATCTTGTCCGGGACAGTGTAGTTCACTTGGCCCTGCTGTGGCTCCGTCGCATACCATTTCAGCTCGTTCTCGAACACCACCGCGTTGAACCTCTCCAGGTACCATTTCTGTAATTGAAATCACAGTCTCATACTCTGCTACTGTGCCATGAAACTTGAGCTTAGATCACTCTTTAGAGACTATTTCTCTAAGGTCTGTATATACTCACCTGATAAGGCTGGTTTCCGATGATGGTCTTGGAGATGGCGGAACCGAAAGGGAACTCTTTGGAGAGTTGCTGAATTTTGACCGAAGCTCCTTGCAGCCTGTTGCCCTGGCTATCCGAGACGTGAATCGTCACGGCTCGCTTCCTTTGCTGTAGAAAAGGAAAGGAAAGAGTGGCTAGCACGATCAGTGTCTGGCTCTAAGGTTAGGAATTTGCCTGGGAACTGTAAAAGGAAAGTGTTACCAGTAATTTACAGTGTCTATGACGTTCTGCTGGCTTGCCGTCCATTGCTCTGGACTAAACGGCTGCAAAGAAGCTCTCGCCACTGAAACACCAACGCTCTTGCGAGCTGGGCTCTGTCAAATATGAACCCATGATTTGAAAGGTGATTCATCCTAGCACTGCTTGTCTTCTGAACACGTTTAACTTTGGAGTTTTCACAGAATTTGGTAGATGAATTCGGAGTTACGTACCTGGAGGTACAGAATGGAGGAAATTGACGGCTCCTCGAGAATGAACCCGCCTTTGAGAAACGACCAGCAATTCCTGTGGGCGGAGACACTTCCGACGCAGTAGTATGTCGTGGTGTCTGTCTTTAGGCTTGCAGTTACAGTTGTTGGATATGCAGCTTTCACCTTCACCCATACTGTTATTGTTTAGTAATTGCTTTTCTACTTCTTCAACCACAATGACAAGTTCATAATCTTTGTACTCTCAAGGAGAAAGTAAATGTCACCAACCAAGAAAAAACAATAGAGGTTCCCAATCACACTTATTGCTTGAAGATTAAACTCTAGTTACAGCTCCAACTGGATGAATTGAACTAATGCTGCCATACAGAATAACTAGAGCTAAATTTTCTATCTTGGTAGTTGGTACCGTCTAGTCAATAGGGATCGGGATTTTGAACATGAACCAACCTGAGAAAGAGTAATATGTGCCTTGTGTGAGATTGCTCAAAATGAAAGCCGGCGTGGCATCTCCGACGCCGGAATCGTCACGATCCTTCCAATGAACCGAACGCTGGTTGGCCAGAATTCCTCCGCCGTATAGGGCCTTCTCCGGAGTCGCCTGGCACTGAAAAGAAAAAGAAGCTTACTTTCTCCAAACTTACGCACCAAACCAAGATGAAGAAACAATAAGAACCCAGCTCCAAATTCAACAGTGTGGAGGATTATACGCGTTTACCTCAGTGTAAGCTGTATGATCGTACAACGGCCCATCTGAAACCCCAGAAGAATGAAAAACATCAACATGGTACGAGGGATTCCATGTTGAGGAAAACGAAACGGCAGCAAGTTAACCCGGAAATGGGAAGGGAGAAGAGATGGCAGAGGAAGTTACCATAGGTAGCGGCAGAGGTGGAACAGAGGAGAAAGAACAGGATGGAAACAGAGTAGTAGGAAGAACCCATGACAGAGACTTGCATTCTGAACAATCCCACAATGGAAAGATTTGATATTTTTCCTACTGATTTTGTAATTGGTTAGAGGATTCACGGGATCAACAGTACGGTATGGCGGTGTAGGAGCCGAGTCTGGGAGTCACATGATGTCTATATACCCCAAGTCAGTGCGTGACCAAAAGACAAGAGGGAGGGAGGGAGAGAGAGAGGTGAGATGGTTCTTGTGAACCTCCAACAACCCGACCCGACCCGACCCAACTGCAGTCTCCTCTCCTCAGTCCTCACTAAGAAGCAGAAAACAGATCCAGCCAAACGAATGAGTTTTTAGGTTCCTGACGAGTTTAGCAACTTCTTGGGAATTCTCGGTGGGTTATTACTTATTAGTATAAAAAAAAAGCCATTTTTGGGTGGGGATTATTAAAATTGTGGGCGGAGGAATTGTTGATATCGTCAGTTGTCGGTTCTTGTGTCGGACAGTCTATTGAAGCTGGTTTGATGTGTTTGAGGCGAATGAGTACGAAACAAGTGTTAAGAGAGCCAAAATCTACCATCTCGTTTGGGTCTGAAATTGGTCCGTTGGGGTTCTTTTTTATTCTTCCCCAGGAGTATTGCTGTATTGGTTGCCCAATGGCAGCAACTGAAGCGGGTCTTTTTTTGTTTTAACCTCCTTCAGTCGGTTTATCTTTTTAGTGACAAAAATTCCATAGGAAAGCAACAGCTGCTGCCCTTTAATGGTCATTTGTCAAGTAAGAAATTTTGGATTGGGAAGTGACAAAATTATTAATACTAAAGATCAAGTATGTTCTTAAGTCTAAAAAATCGTAATAAATTTTTCTTCGGAATTCGTAATTGTGGAAGATATGGGAAAAGATAATCGTCATTAATGTAATGTAATCTCATTCTAATTAATTATCACATTGGGAAGGTAATACTTGTGTAGTGGGAAATAGAAGGCCATCTAGTAAGTTTTTTATTTATTGAATGGAGGCCAAAGCCCAGGAGCTTAGATACAATCAACCGAGACTTAGCGACTTGTGGAAGGAAAAGGGCCAAAAAGGTGTCAAGCGAAAAAACTAAACGAGACAGCCAGGAAGAATCCTAGTTAGCTACTAACTGGTTTGTGGTTGACCATTCTCGAGTAACCCACTCCTGTACTGTTCTCCATAATGATCTGACTTAACTCCGTTGGGGAATTCATCAATTTATACGACCTAACGAGATAGACGAAACTGTGTTTCGAGAGTTAGTATGCAACTCTATTCTCATCACGGTACATGAGAGAGAGACGAACTTCCCAATTGCGAGTCAACTGTCGATGAACCGCCCCTAGGATCGAAGCGTGAGGGTGAACCAAGTTTGTTCTCTTCATGATCAAATCAACTATAAGCTTCGAGTCTGACTCCGCCATGAGAAATTGGATGTTCTTGTTTTGGGCGAGTTCTAACGCATGATGTCATTCCCAAAGTTTGACTTCCAGAGTCGTGCCAGTGACCAATCCCAAGGTTGTTGTAGAACCTCCAGCCTAGTCTCCGTTATAATGTCGGATGACCCCACATGCAGCAGAAAGACCAGGTGATCCTTGAGCAGCTCCTCTAGTAAGTTGAGAAGAGTGGAAGTCTGAAGATTGAACTAGTAATCATGAGATCATAAATACTATAAGCTATAATTACTACTATGATATATGCTCAAAATATTTTATTCCATTCATAGTCACTAGGATTAGTTTAATATTTTAGGTTTGGTTACTGACCGTCCAACTCCGTTAATTTAATCTTATGTGACAGTCAGCTCTCATAATTGATCGTTAAATGAGTGACATGAAAAAGAAGGGGGCGGGAACTCATATTCAATTGAATTACTAATAAGTTGTATCATTATATATTGTATCACTAATAAGTTGTATCATTTCGTATAACTTTTTGGATGAATAAAAATTTGCATCTTCAAATTACACTTGCATAATATTTATACATTTGATCGGCCATAATCAAATATGTACAATCCCCCAAGATATAAATTTAGCGGTTCTTCCGTCTTCACACTTTTTCTCCTTCTAAATTGTATTGAACTTTCTATAAAATGGGAAAGTGATGAAAGAGACTTTTGAATAGGCATGGATGGAATATGGAGAAGCAATGACCTCAAAACAAACCAAGTGGGGGAGAGTGACCTTCAACCTTACGCCACAGTGCCCTTTAGTGCTATAGCTTGCATGCGTTTAGGGCACAAGCAAAAAACAACCAGAGCAGAGAGGACCATTTCCTTTCCATGCGCAGAGCAGAATCATTCTCTTTTTCCCTTCGCAGTCCGCATGTGGACTGGATTACCAAACTGGGAAACCATATCTGTTACTCCAACTATCTCAATTTATGGTAGTAGGTGAAACTGAAAAGTACGACAGGCTATTAGTTATCAGACCTTCCTCCTCAGCCTTCTCATCAATTCCTTGCGTGCAAGTCACGAAAGTCGGGATTAGACCAAGCCCAGCAAAATTTTATATGTTCTCATGGGCTTTCATGAAATTGGACTTCTAGTTGGCATGGGCCTGAAATTCAATATGCTGCCCCGGAATCTAAAACGATGAACAAAGTAAACTCAAATCATGCTGCTCGCATCGCATTGCACCCACCTAGCCTTTTCAGCCTGTTTGGATGGACAGAAAACTCAGGAATATTCTATTTCATTATTTCATGTTTGGAATGGTAAGAAGGTTGGGAAATGAATTCCATTTGACTAAAATATTGGAAATTAGAATTCCTATCAAAAGTGATAGGAATTGGGTTTATGGAGATGGAATTAGTGGGACCCATTCATATTTATTATTATTTTATAATTCCACTATCTTATTTCTCTCTTTCTCTCTCATCCATATTTCATTTCCCAAGATAAAAAAATCTACTAAATCATTAATGATTGTTAAAGAATACAATTCATTTCCATAGTTGTTGGAATTATGCCAAACACAAATATTGGAAATGGAATTCCATAAAAGTTAGAATTGGGAATGGAAATCCATTTCCATTTCTTATGGAATTGTATCCAAACAGGCTGTTTAAGTCAATCATGGGCTAAGATCATGTGTCTAAGAGGTCCATTAGTCACATGAATAAACTAATCCTAGCCATTCAAGCTCATTAAAATCCAATGGTTCAGATTTATCTAGTTTAATGAAGGGTAAAGTGGTAATTACTTAATTAATTTATTTATTTAGCAACTAAATTATAAAACAAAAAAAAGGTGTGGCCTCCGCCCTCCCCGCCTGAGAGAGAGAGTTCTTGTCAACTTTTGCGGCGACGGTGGAGCAGTTTTTCGGCGACCAGAGACGGTGGTGGATGATTTTCCGGCAACAGTGTTGAATTCGTGATGATTGTCAACCTATATTGTAATGTTTATAAGTTCAGTTTGTATTGTTTATACCAATTCGGTTTGTATCGTTTATCATTCTACTTTGTTATTTTAGTATGTTGTGTTTGTAATGTTTATATGACTATTTTGTATATATTGTAATTTGTAATGTTTGTTTGTCTAGTTTGTATACTTTATGTTATGATTTGTACACTTACTATTCATTGATTTGTAATACAAGTTTACTGATTTGTATTTGTAAGTAGTGTTATTTTGTAGTGTTAGTATGTTTTGTAATGTTGGTCGAGTTGTTTTGTAATGTTTGTAAGCTTTGTTATTTTGTAATGTTTGTCGAGTTCTTTTGTAATGTTTTTAAGCTTTGTTATTTTTGTCAACATATTTGTCATTTTTACAAAACATACAAATCACACTGACATTATGTACAAAAATACTAACAATACAAACCGACAACACTTACATTACAAATCACTGTTCTTCCCTCTCTCCATTGTTGTCGCCGTCGTCGACTCTCTTTCCAGCGCCGCCGCTGACTCTCTCTACTGCCCCATCCTCCTCTTTCACCATTGTTGTCATTGCTAATATCCGGATCCTTTCTTTTGTTTATGGCCAAAGCAAGATATTACTATCTCTGTCTTTATATCTAGATATAAATTGAAAGAGTTGGTAGCAATATCAGAAGTCCGCAGATCTGTCATTTGAAAAAAAAAAAAACTTTCGAGAATAGAATCATACCGTATCTATCAAGTAAATGGTTCATTAATGACCATCGGAAGTACAGTTGGGGCAGATAACTCCATTCATTGCCTTGGGATAGATTATATAGTTACAGTTACACTTAAGCCACCAGCAGCGAGACAAAATTTCACTTCTTACAAGACTAGGGAAGGAGAATTACAATTAACTACACTTATGTAGACCCTACATAGACCTAAAACAGAGCAATCACCGGGCCACCAAAAATTTTGCCTTCGCTACAGAGGAAATTGAAAATCACAGACACGACAAGCACACTAAAAAAAATCCCCCTAATTCAATCAACATAGCCAACAGTACATCAACGTCATTGGCTGTTGCCTCCAGATTTCTTCGACTTCCTGCTCGCATAAATCTTGGCGTAAACCGGTTTGGTCCTCACTGCCAAGAGGACGTCAAGAGCGAACCCGACAATGCAAGCTATAGCCATGACGATGAAGACCATCCTGTAACAGTGAGCTCCGACGCAGGTGTTGCCGCCGCCGGGAGTAGGGGTGGCCTCGGCATCGTAGAGGAGCCCGGCAAGCAAGCCGGAGAAGAGGAAGGAGCCCAGTGGCAAGTTGAGGATCAGGATGTTGTAGATCAGGCCGTAGTATTTCAGGCCGAAGAGCTCCGATGCGGTCGGGACCGAGACAGCCAGGCGGACTCCGTAGCAGATCCCGACGACGATGGAGCCCACGTAGAGCGAGCCTGGTAGGGCCGCGGCTAGGAGGATGTATCCCACTGCCATCAGGATTTGGGATGCTGCATTCCAGAGTGGTCTTGGGGTTCCAGATTTCCTGAGATTGGTAGTAGATCGATAAGGTGAGATAAGGAAATAAAGTTTTGAGGGGATGTGAATGAATTTACATCAGTGTCAATCAGGCTGGTACTGGTAGCTACTAGTCCCCGTCAAGAAAACATGTCACATGGAAAACGAAGTGAACAGAAAGAAGCACACATGAATGCCAAAAAATAAGGGGCCTATTCCTATGGACCATGGATGAAGAGAATTCATGACTGACCCTTGCCGTACCGCGGTTAGGGAAGGGGCTGGGGGACCAAAAGAAAAAATAGCTTCTCCGCCCACCGTGGGGCTCGAACCCACGACCACAAGGTTAAGAGCCTTGCGCTCTACCGACTGAGCTAGACGGGCCAACTGTGCTAACAAGTTATTCTGACCCAACTAGAACCAAGGATTCACGGTTAGGGTAATGATAACAGCATCAAGCCTCTGAAGGAACAGAGTTCGAGCAGATATTTTTGCAGTCCCTTCCGTCCCTCCTTTCTACTGACTGGACAATGGACATCAACTTTCAAAACAAAAGACAGCCATTCATCTCTACACTAAAGTCAGTCCCTTTCTTCTATAGTCATTAATGGGTGTTAAAGCAATGAATAACGATGCAGCAGCCCCCACCACGAAACAGGGGAGGATACGGAAAGATCACACAAGTCTAATTCTTTTGAAGCATATTGAAAGCGAGGGATAGCTACCCGCCATTACTATGTGAACATTTTCCTTTATCAGAAACTGATGGGTGGATAGTAGTAGAAAGAAATGGGGGCAGCGTTTGTTAGTCTCTCGATGGTCCGAGGAGTTAAACTCACTAGGGCTGTTGGATGCATCCTGCAGGTTCATCATTGGACGTATCCAAAGGTCAAGAATGAGTTCCGCTCATACCAAATACTAGTCTTCCCATCAGCAATTCAGCATAGCCAACCCATCTCGAAAGCAAAACAAATCTTGTACCCCATCGGATGCCCCAAGGGACACGATTGGGCCTAGGTACGTTCTGGTAATAATATTGGTCTGATAGCAACCAGCCAACAGTTCGGCTACAGTTCAAGATGGGAATGCGGGTGAAGCAATTTCAGTTCACAAAAGAAGAGTCCACTGCAGGTCGATTGGCAAGGGGCTGTTTATGTTGATGATATTTATGAGAGAAATTCTAGGAAATATCAGCACCCAAATATCTAGTGCGTCATGGTGGATACTAATTGAGTATTATTTTAGTCAATAAGAATTGATCCCAGGCGATACTTTCCAAGGTAAATAATAAGCTTGTATTTACTGTTAAACTTAGCATATTATTTAACTAAACAAATCAACGAAGATTCTGGGAGATAAAAATAATGAATTTTTGAAAACGACGGGGGCTGCAATTGGGGTAAATAAAAGGGGCACCAAATGTAACATCTAGCTTAGCTACGCCAATATAACATTAAAAAAGTGGGTGGAATTGAAAAAATGGAAAATACCCACACAAAAACAAAATAACGTTGCAAGATCTTTTTGATGCTAAGATTAGTTGGTCCAAAAGTTCCATTCACATTCTCACAAGGCATTTTCCATGTTGATTCTTTTCCTACGTTTGCTTTTCCTAACTTTTTCAGCTTCTGGGCAAAGGAAACTAGCAGCGAAAAGCATGCCCAAAAAGTTGAATTGCACCCACCAAAGCCATCGAAACAGTAGAATGTACCAACTCATGTCACCGTTTACAAAAAGGTAATTATTCCAAGAATAATACACAGTACATGACATAAATCATAACATTGCACGATCTACTCGAGACAATTATATTTCTGATACTTGAGGAAGCTTTTAAGAAGAAAATGTCATTCCCCTATAATGATGAATCACACATTTTTGGAGGATCGAAACTGATTCAGAAAAGAAAATTCAATTCAACTCAATCCTGAATTCAGTTCGGTCAAATCATTCGTTCCTAATTAAAGAAACTTGAATCAATTGGTTTGAAAATATTATATTCGAAGGAAGAGTTGAATTTTACTAGTGGTCAGAAGCCTAGAGGCCAGAACTGATACCCTGCCCTACCCATGGCTACCGAGTACCGACCCACTACCCTAAAAAGAACTACTACATTATATTCACCAAAATCCCATCATTAACGCCATTACTCACATGCACGTGGTACTTAAAGACTTAAGAGCGCGAATTAAGACGGCGCGCAGATAATTAAGCAAGCAATTATCAGTAATCATAATAATTAGTGACGAAAGGAAAGAGCAGAGTGTAGGGAAGAGGAGAACTCACTTGACAAAGTACTCTGACACCGACCCGGATATAATCCTTCCGAAGAACCCGAAAATACTCGTCAACGATACAAAGATCGAAACGTCGACGTATCCAAGGGCCAGCCCGATTTGCCCGGTGTTGTTCATCACCGCCAAACCCGTCCCCACTCCACACAGAAACGAAACGAACAGAATCCAGAAATCCGCCGTCCTTAGCGCCTCCCCAATCGTATGCTCCTCTCCGATCACCGGCTTCCTCGTTACCTCCTCTCCATCTTTCTCCACCACCTCAACCGCCTTCTCATCCGCCGTCGATTCCTGCAAAAGCGGTTCGTCAATTGCGCCCTGCACCCGCTCAATGTCGGCTTCGGCGGCGGCGATTCTCAATCCGTTGACCAATTTGTGGACCGGTACGGCGAGCGGCGACGCGAGGAGGACGAGGAGAGTGATTCCGAACCCTAGGGAGAGTCCTCGGGTCGGATTGGGGGTGAAATCGTAGGCCAGTAGGAGGAACGCGACTACCACAGCGACGACATTGAATGCGGAGAAGTATTTCCCCTCTTCCTTCTCCTCCGCCATAGTAGTGGCCGGCGGGATCTCGCGGAGGAAGAAGACGGCGGCGAGGCAGACGAAGAAGGGGACTAAGGCCAGCATGAGGAGGAAAGTCGCCGGATCGTCGGAGAAGAAGGCGGAACAGAGATCTGTGAAGATTGCGGTGGACAACCCGACGAATCCTTTCAAGATCCCGGAGACCGGCCCGCGGTTGCGGCGGAAGTTGCGGATGCAGGTCACGAGCACCGAGGTGTTCATCCAGGTGGTGCTGTTGCCGCCGAGGCAGAGGAAGACGCACATCTGCCAGTAAGGCAAAGGACTGATCCGGCCGCTGACGACGAGCCACTGGACGCCGTAGCCGATGAGGCCTTCGATTGAGCCGATGAGGAGGAGGACGGGAGTGGAGAATCGGTCGGAGGCGAGGCCGGCGAGGAGGCCGAATGCCTTGCCGACGTCTTTAGCGACGGAGAGGTTGTTGAGCTGGAGCTGAGTGAGGTTCATTAGGGATTTGAGGGCGTGGGAGTAGTTGGCGAAGGTGTAGTTGTTGCCGGAGATGGCTTGGACCCAGACGGCGGTGACGAGGCCGAGCCATTTGTAGGAGGAGAGTGCGGCGGCGGAGGTGGTTAGGGTGGTGGCGTAGTCCGTTAGCCCCATTGCGGGGGAGTGTTTACGGACGGAAGGAATTCGAATTGGAAGAAGAAGAAGAAGAAGAAAAAGAATTTGGGGGAGAAAGATTTTGAGCGGAGGGAATTTTTGGAGGGGGCGGAAAAGGAAGCTGTGAGGGCGAGTTGAGAAGCGTGACGGTGTGGCAGAGTGTTCTTATATAGAATTAGAAAGGCGAGGGCCGAAGCAGTGTGGTAAGCGAGTTACGGTGGACGGGGAACGTGTTGTCTCGTTTCCGGCCATTTTTTTCACATTGTTGGAATTTGTTTCAACATTTTCCTTTTCTAAACAGAAAAGAATTAAAATAACGTAAAGCGTGTGTATAATATTTGTTATACTTATGTATTTTCAGCCCGATATTGGTTATGTATTTTCAGCACACCTACTATATTGGTTTGATAAATGGAGTCCTTATATTTTGAACTTTAACCAACGAAGTCATGTATTATGTTGTCGATTATTATTTCTTGCTTCTTCCCTTATATTGACCCATATGTTACATAATTTTGTCTACAAGTTTGTAAATTTGTCTTTTACCCATCAATTTGGCTTGATTAGTCAATTTCGGTATTTACTAAGTCTCACATTATAAAAGTTTCTGGATGGGTGAGCAATTAGTGGATTTATTCGGATTTGGGTTGATTTGGACCCACTCATTCCATGGTGGATGAAGAAGAAAATGACTCACGCGCCACCAAATATGTACTTGTGGGTGAGTTGGGTTGGGTTGAGTTGGGTGATTGCGGATGGTGTGCGGTTGGGGTGGATTCAGTGGGTTTATAACATATATTCCAAAATTTAATCCACCTGCACTCACCCAAACATTTGTCGATCACCTATTTTAGAACTCACACCACCCATATGAACCACCCACAACATAATGGGTGGGTCATTTTGTTGGTGCATAACTAAAACTGTTAGTGGAAAGCTTAAGGAATCCGAATCCTCTACCGAGAAGGATTGTGTTGTGGCACCAGAGAGTCTACTTCAAAGGAGTCAGTCAGAATAAAAAACGGTAGTGTTTGGTCATTGTTTGTTTCAGTCCAATTATTTATGTTTATGTCAAGTCTGGGCTTGTAAAGTTGTTAGTAACCTCTGCGAGTATTTAGCTTGGTAGTTGATCGTGGGAAGGATCTTGTTAGTTGTTTAGAGTCGTGGAGGGCAAGATTGGTGGCTGAAACACATGTATAAAACCTAAAGTCTTTCGTTTCAATAAAGATTGTCAGATTGCAATCAATTGAGCTCTCACACATTTGTGGATGGTTTTGGGTGGATTTGTGGGTTCAACCACCCAATGCTCACCCCTACTGGATATGCGGGAATTAAGGGCTGAAGCTGAGGCAAAATATGAATTGTAATGTACATAACATGTTGTTTTGATAACAGGCGAGTTGTACGTATAAGGTTATTATTGTCGGTCCATCATCTTGCATCATTATTATTTGGGTCATTATCATTCTATATAGTTTGAATTGGATTTGTGTACTATTATTATAAGTATATTATTTCGTATAAAATAAGATTGTAGCATCGATCATAGTTGTGTACTTCTGGTGAATGCACTTCTTATATTAGTACCACTTGCTAGTGAGTCGGTGAAAAATTCTCTCTTTATCGTCCGATGAAAAAAATCTCTTTACAACACATGCGATGGATTCGTAATGTGGTTAGTAACCACGAGTACTGATATAAATTTGTTAAGAAAAACATATTACCGGGTTGTGTTTGTTAAAGTGTGACCCATTTGAAATTAATGACCAGTTAGGATAAAAATAACTTATTATTTCGACAAAACGAATTAATTTTTTTTAAGCTTTTGATGTGGAATAATAATGCTAAAGAATCGGCTTCTTATTGACTATACGGAAAGTCGAATCAATTTATATATATACCTTTTTATTAATTCAATTATTTTTTTTTGGAAACCTCCTCGGAAAGTCCACAGTAATGCTAATGCAGCTGAACTCGTAGCTTTAATTTTGTCTCAAATTTCTAGAATCCCACTAAGAACAGTATTGTATTTTGTGCAAATTGCTCCTCCTTTTGGTAAAAACAAATATTTGTTGTCCTTCTTTCTTCCTCCTCCCGAGCAAGTAAGTAATTTTGCGATTGCCGATTGTTCGTTTTATAATGTCAAGTGGGCGGGGGCAGGCAATTGCCGGGAAAGAGGAGCCCGAAATAGAGAGACTCCTCCTCCTCCTATTATTCGTTTTTCAATATTTTAATGATTGAAAATGAGAAAAGTGAACAAGTGGGGCGGGGAGAGAGAATGGGGAAGAAATATGAGGACCGAGATGGAGCTTTTGGGGGAAAAAGGATGGAAATTGACACGTACGGTTCTCCGTTGGAGATTGTTGTAAGGACTTAACGTCGACGCGTCCGTTTGCGAAGCAATACCATCACGTGGCCTTCGTCATGGGCCTGTACAGAAGAATCTCGTATCTACGCTCCCGAATATACGATTCCTATACAAAGCCTTTTCTCCTCCTAATTGAGTTATCATTGATTGTTGATCGATCTTGAGAAAAAATAGCGTAGAATACAAAATGAACTGTGAAGTACGAACAAGTACGGAGAAAATAATTCTGTATTAATTAGATGGCGTCTAGAAAAACGAAGTCTACAAATCGCGAAAATGAACGCACTTGTGTATAGACTTAATCAAACCCATCGTTATGAGCAACTTGCGGGCGGGAAGAAAAAGCAGCTTTCTGAGTTGAGGAAAGACCATTGCTTCGGGCAACCTCTTCAATCTTCAAAATTCAACCTATAGCCCAGTTCATTAACAGTCATATCGCTTTTCTCTTTGAAACTTTATTTAATTGTTTTTTGTAAGGACAAGTCTAACTAATTCATATCTATCAATGGCTCAAGATAGGGTGGTTATGCACCCTAAATAACTAAATCTTGACCATTCATTTAGAAAATTCAGATATAAGGATGAATAATTAAATACTATTTTTATTTTTCCTAACTTTCTTAATCGGCTCATATCTTCTTCGTTTTAAATCGGATTTTTTTTTTGCACATATGGAACGTGTTCGCTGTGCTCTACAAAATGAGATACATTTTCAATATTTTTTTAGAAAAAAAAAATTCTTGCCTCTCGGTACCAACTGCATATCATATGGTATCTTCTTCGTTTTCATTCGTTTTTTAAAACGTTTTGCACAGAAGGAACGAGTTCATCATGATCTATTGGATCTACAAATTTCTTGGTGAACAAATTACAGGACAAAAAAATACCACACAATACCATACAATACCACCCTGGTACGGGGTGGTATCTTGTGGTACACAATGTTAAAAGTCGTAAATGACAGTTAATATACTTCAACTATCATGTATTCAACCATCCTACAGTCTTGGTTTGTTCATACCACCATGGTACGCTTCTCAAACCATAGGTATGCTCTTATTTCAATACCAGTCACTACCATATGGTATAGACTGGTAAAAAATGGCTCAATTTTTTTGTTCGAAAAATATATCAAAGTGGATATCATTTTGAAGATGATAATTAATCTGATCTAACTATGCAAAAAAAAAAATCGACTTAAAACAAGTGAGAAATCGTCCGTCAAAGATTAAGGAGGGGAAAATTAAAGGCTTTCAAGGAGAGAGAGGGATGCTAATGTCATGCTGATGTGGACGAGTTACTCATGGTTACTCACCAAAAGGTTACCTAATCTGTTCCCTCTATCAATAGGGTAAATTCTATTGTAGATTACCTTGAATCATCAAGACCCCAATCATCAATAACACCATATGTCTTGTTTAATTGCATATTGTTGGGAATATGGAGTAGGTACGCGCTCAACGCCACCACCCACGCGTGCCAACGTGCCATGAAGAGTGGTTCATTGTGTGGAGAAAACGAGCCTAAGGCGTAAGGTGGCCTAGAGAAGCATCCGCACTGACACATGATCACATCCGAAGAATGACCTTAGTTAGAACTTAGAACACACATCATCGGTCATGAGGCTGTAAATAGAGCATTTACTCCGGTGGGTAGAGGGGTAGTTGGATTGTATTCCTCTCGCTAAACCTCGAACTTTCTCTCTCTAAATTCAATCCCAACTCCTATGTAAGAAGTAAGAACCACATCTACGATCAACTATTCACACGCAACCACAATCCGTGTCTCACTCCTACATTCAGTTAGACAAAAAAACATATCATAGTGAGTAGACGTGAAACTGTGCCAAACTCATGAATTAGCTTCTTGTTTTTTTTTATAACTCATATGTTACTAATGTTAGCTTTTGAATAGCTTGTTGGGATATCTCATTCTCAATTTGTCAATTAATATAATAACTTAGGGCGCTGATTTCATTTCTTGTTCTAAGAAAGTTAGTTTGTCCCCCCACTGCAATTAATTTTTGTTTTCTTGGCCATGTATCGGAAACTAGCAGAACCGCATGGGCCATGCCTATTAATGAGGCGGTCAATATCCAAGGCTCAATGATGCCAATGGTCCTAGCCAGTTAATTAACCAGACAGACAGCAGATTGTGATAATCTGATGGCGTCTACCATTCATCCATCATCTATATTCTATACCACGCACTATGGCATTTGGATTGACGGCCACCGTCCGCCGGCCCACCAGCCACCAGTACTGGAGTTGACGTCCAAAATTAAATCAACTCGCTTAATAGTGGTATTAGTATTAATTGTCGGTTTGAAGGCACTGCAATCAAATTTCTTCCTTCAATCAACACACTTCATCGATCTTTAGTGCATTTCTACAAGTTGTCAACACGTAGGCTGACTCGAACCCGGTTGAGCTAATGGGTCAAGGGTTAATGGGTCACTCGATTTAGTCTGATTTAGCCCGGAAATATGGAAAGAGTCATTATATTGTATTTCTCCTGATAAATTATATATAATCTCATCTACATATGAGTTATAACATATAATATTCCACCAAAATAACATGTCGTACTTAGATCCAACATATAGTGAAAATTCACACACACTTATATAACATCAACATTCAAATGTTCAACTTAGGATTCCAAAGATTGAGTTAGGCGAAAAGAAAGATCGGAAAATAGGTGCATTTCGCAAACCAAAGAAAAA